TGGATTCATCTTGAAAATTATATAAAATCTTAGATGAGTGGAGAACTTACTTTTAAAAAAAAAAACTCCAGGGAAGATTTGAGAAACTTTGCTTTCAGCAAGATCCTTAACTTTGCTCTTGGGAGGAGTATTTGAGAGAATGTGAGAGAAGTGAAAGAAGAGGAACTTAAAACTCTTTCACTGACGTTGCTTTAACATAATAGGAGAAAAAAAAAAGGGGGGGGGGGGGGGGGGAAACTTAGATGCATGGAAATCTGATGGTCCAAGCATTGATATTTGGTGGGTAAAGCATTGGATACCGTGATTTGCATGGGAAATGGAAGATTAATCACAAGGTCAAACCTCTTTGTCCTTATCTTGATTTTAGGATAGGATCTTTATAAATCCTAAATTTTATTTTATGTAAATATGATTTAAATAATCAAATTTGGCATAAAATAGAGGTTTTAGTGGTCTAAGTTACGAAAAATACGAGTTTGGTGGAATTCCCGATGTCAAAATACCCCAAAATGGAGAAAAGGTCCGAAATAGTCCAAAATCCGAAGCTAAAAGGTAAATTCCGGAGTCATATGGTGAATTCCGAGGCTACTTCTCAAATTCCAGAGTGGAGGGTTAGGTCTGCGAGGTTCCGAAGTGGTTGACAAGGAAGTTCCGGAGTCAACATGCGAGTTCCGAAGCTCTTTGCTATGTTCCGGAGCACTTCCCTCGGATCCGGAGTCAGGAGCGAAGCCAGCAGTCCGGACCGGCTAGAAATTCCGGAGTAGCGAGATCTTCCGGAGTAGCGAGAATGTCCGAAGCAAGAGGAGTTCCGAAGTGACTAAGGCATTCCGGACCAGGAGGGTTCCGGACCAAGAGTGTTCCGGACCAAAAGGGTCCGTTTGGGTTTTCTCCTTCGGTTTTGGGTTGTTTTCGACTGAGGAAGGTATATAGAGAGATTTGGGAGAGGTTTCACATACTTGGAGAGATTTGGGAGAGATTTCACATACTTGGAGAGATTTGGGAGAGATTTCACATACTTGGAGAGATTTGGGAGAGATTTCACATACTTGGAGAGATTTGGGAGAGATTTCACATACTTGGAGAGATTTGGGAGAGATTTCACATACCTGGGGAGATTTGGGAGAGATTTTACATACTTGGAGAGATTTGGGAGAGATCTCACATACTTGGAGAGATTTGGGAGAGATTTCACATACTTGGAGAGATTTGCATTCTAACTTTACATGGTCCATTAGGAATCATATAGTACACTTTTAATGTGTTAGCACAAGCCACACAATAGTTATTGCTTTCATGAGGACAGAATTTCCTAGCCAAAATGCTAGTTGTGACAATTAATAAATTGTGCTCGTCGAATTTCACTCTTATTTCCGCCGCGTCTTTTGCTTTCGCCTCAACCTCCTCCGCATGCCTTGCAGCGCGCCTCACTTTGTTGCGTCCGGGCGGTCGTCGTGGTGAGGATATGCCCTCGATATCATCCGGGATCTCATCGTTGTCGGGGTTTAGGTCGTTGTGAGTCCGTTCGTCCGACACGTCGACCGAGCTCGAATTGCGAGACCTTTTGGATTGAACCTCCGACAATGTAGGCGTTTTATTCCACTTTGGATCCGCTCGCAACAACTCCCATGATTTTTCAAACTCGAAAACGTGTCCTATTTCGAATCGATATTGTTCTTTTGCGGCTTTGAACAAATCGAAGTCGTTGGTTCCGCTTTGTCGTTGTGCCTCAACCCGGTTGTAAATACCGTTGAATTTGCTGCACAACTTAGTTATTTGACCCCATTTGCTGCTCAACATGTCATTGTTGTCATACGGTTTTTTCTTCAAAATAGCGTGAAACTTGTCGCGCACCGCCCCCAATATGCTCCTTTCTTCATTCCATTTATGCGGAGTTCGTCTTTTGAAGTAGTACACCAAGCCGCCATCAAAGCATATTCCTCCTCCGGTGTCCACCATTGTGGAACGTCTGCATTTTCTGTTTCAACCGCTATCAATTTCCCTTTCGATTTTCCTTTCCCTTTCCCTCTCCTACTACCTCCCGCTTCCACTTCAACCGATGGTTGTGTTGTAGGTGGTGGTTGGTTGGTTGTTTGTTGCGTCGAAGCAAAAGTAGGGAAAAGATTTTGTTATAAATTTGGGTTCTAACCAAATAGATTTTGTTGAAGGTATGGTGAGTTGGGAAATTGCAGTGGTGGTGAAACGGGATTGAAAGCGACGCCTTGGTATGAGATTTGTGGTGATCCTTGAGACGATAAAAGGTTGAAATAATTTTCAGAACCCGCAAATCCGAGATGCGATGTTGTGTTTGGTTGTATGTTTGGGTTTGATGATGGGGGGGGGGGGGGGGGTCTTTGGGTTTTGCTCCATTTTTTTAAAATTTGAAGAAAATATGTGTATAAGATATAGAGAGAATGAGAGAAGTTAAAAAAAAAATTAGTTAAAAGTAGTATTTATATAGATAAAAAAAGTAAAAGTTATTTATTTATTTATTTATTTACATTTTGACCGTTTGCAACGGTCTCCAATACACCTAACGTTCAAATTCATCGCGTTTCAATCGGTCGTAACGCCCACGAGTTCCGCCATAACGAGAAGCAACGAGAAGGGGGGGGGGGGTGTTCCCCGTTACCGTTATGGCGTGTCCACGTCACCCGTAACGAGAAAAATTAGACCCATACCGTCTCGTCTTAGAAATTAACGGACAAAATTGAAAGAATAGTCTACTAAACAAAATTTAAATCTAATTAAGTGGTGTTTCCAATAAAATTATGGCGGCATGGCTCTATGTGCTTTTTCCAAAGCAAAATGATTTTTTTTATTAAAAAAATGGCAGTAAACTTTTTGCGGTAAAAAGTTATAGTGGGTTTTTAGGTGGAGTAAATAAATTCCATGAATTATATATTATATATATATATAGATATATATATATATATATATATATATATATATATATATATAGATATATATATAAATGATTTTTTTTTATAAAAATGGCAGTAAACTTTTTGCGGTAAAAAGTTATAGTGGGTTTTTTAGGTGGAGTAATTAAATTCCATGAATTATATAATTCCATGAATTACTATTATATATATTATATCTATATATATATATTATATATATATATATATATATATATATATATATATAGGGAAGAGTTATTTGGAAAAGAAAAAAAACCCTAAAAATGCATAAAAAAAATATTTAGAGATCACAAAACCTTTTTGAATTTTTTATGAAAAAATCGCAATTTTTTTAATAAAATCGCTGAAAAAAAATAAAAATCAATTTTTTTTATAAAAAAAAGAGGTTTTTTTTCAAAAAAAATTTCAGCGATTTGTATTAAAAGCAGCGATTTTTCATAAAAAAATTCAAAAAAAGTTTTGTGATCTGTAAGTATTTTTTTTATGCATTTTTATGATTTTTAGGGTTTTTTTGTTTTCTATAGAACCTAAACCGATATATATATATATATATATATATATATATATTATTATATATATATATATATATTATATATATATATCTATATATATATAGGAAAAAGTTCAATAGAGAACCATTAATTATTGGTTCTTCAAGGAAGCAAACATTTTTTTCAATTTCTAGAGCTATTTTTATCGAAAAAAAAATAAAAAATACCTAAATTCATATATTAACATTGTGAATGTGAAAAATATTTTTCGGATTCACCGTGTGAATCCGGATTCACATTGTGAATTTTCAAAGATTTACATTGTGAATTTGACGTTAAAAAAAATCGAATTTGATATCATTGGAAAAAAGATAAAAAGTTATGAAATTCTGTATTTTTAGTTTTTTTTTTGATAAAAAATAAGTTCTAAAAGTTGAAAAAAAGATTGGTTCCTTGGTTCATTGGTTAATTATGGTGGCTTATTGAACATCACCATATAGATATATATTATATATAGATATATATATATACGATATATATAGTAGATATATATATATATATATATATATATATATAGATATATATATATATATATATTAAAGGACATGAAAAGTTTCAACAGGAAAGTTACTTCTTTATAATTTTACCACTAAAGTTTCAATAAACTATTCCTCTTTATAATTTTGCTACTTTATTTTTAATTCTTTATATTTTTGCCACTAACATGGGAAGTTTCAACAGGAAACTTCTCCCATTTATAATTTTACCACTTTACTATTATTTCTTTATAATTTTGTCACTAAAGTTTCAACAAACTTTCTCTTTATAATTTTGCCACTTTATTTTTAATTCTTTATATTTTTGTCACTAAACTTTCACTTTTACTTATTTACAACCCTTTTTCTTTACTTCTTTATAATTTCTCACTAAAGTTTCAATAAACTTTTCATCTTTATAATTTTGCCACTTTATTTTCAATTCTTTATATTTTTGCCACTAAACTTTCACTTTTATTTCTTTACAAACCTTTTCTTTATTCTTATCGTTTTTGGTCTACCGTTAGTATTCTTCTATCATTTTTTCTTTCTAAAAAGATTCAGTTGTGACTTTTTTCTTAGATGTTTTTTTTCTCAAAAGTGCTCCGTTTCTTTAGTTCATTTACAGTCCTATTTTTCAGCATTATTCTATTTTGATATTTTTTTCTTCTATTATCAAACCGAACTTTTTAACATTTAGACTTTCGTCATATATTTTCTAAAAAGTTGCCAAATTCAATCAATGTTCTTTATTCTTTGTAACTTTCTTCTATTATATTCTTCTACCCTTTATTTTATTTTATTTTTCTAAAAAAATGACCCGTGCAACGCACGGATCTTTTCCTAGTTCTAAAGAAAAATAAAATATGATTTATAAAAAAGGTAAAAATGTAATAAAGTCATCACTAAATTAATGTTTTTCTTAAATTGTATTTTTTTTTTTAATATTTTTTTTTGTCTTAGTCAATCATTTCGATAAACATGGATTATTTAATTTCCCTTAAAAATTCCCATAGATATGGGAGTGGGAAACTAATATTTTAATGAAAAATTGCGTTCTACTTTGATAAACATGTTCTAACCGTTATCTCTCCCTCGGTTTTGCTGGTGTGCCCTAAAACCCAATTCTACTCTGTTTCATCGATTTCTTGCTGAGGTAATAACAGCCATTTTTCTTTTTTATAAATTGCATTTTGATTATGCTACTGAGTACTTATATAGTGCTGTCCAATGGTGATTTTGAGGAAACTCTGGTGATCGCGTTGGATAATTTGCTGGTGAATTCGCTTGATCAGTCATCTGTTCATTCCATAAGATTGAACTATTTACAACTTTTAATGTGTTTTATGGTTTTAATTCAAAAAATTCATGTTAAATTTACTATTTCTGGTTCGATCATTACAGATTGTCGCTTGATGTTTCTGAAGTTTATCCATAAAACCCCTATTTTGTTATCCTTTATAGACATCAACTGAAACTATTTGCATAGATAGACGATATAAATAGCAGTAATTATTTCGTCTAATTTTTTTTGAGCCTGTCATGCCTGCTTGTTTATATTATATGTGACTACAAGGTAAAAGATTATCTTATAGAAGAAAAGAATCAGGATAAGAGATGCCATGCATCTGAATTTTCTAAGAGGCTATATTATCCTATTTGATGATGATGGATGGATAGTAGAAGGTGATTGGCCGGATAAATTGTGTTGGAAGATAGACTCTTGAAGCAATGCCACAAATATGTAAAATGATACCGAAGGGGGAATATGTGTGGGGAGGGTAATGGGGTTAGTTTTGTCGAAATTGATGATGCAGAAATTTTCCCATCCGCCCATATCCACAACATACATTTGGGCATTATGTATGCTTATGCCACCACTTGATTGCAAATAGGTGATAAAATACAAAGCAAAAATTAACTATAAGAATTATAGAATTGTACCGGAACACTTGCCAATTTTTTTTTATTTTGAAATTGAGAATGGACTATAAAATATGTCAGAGTAATTTATAGATTATACTGATAGTTAATTTCAGGCATGAATAGCAAAATTGGAAAACAAGTTCAAATTATCTGCTTGTAGTTTAGAAAAAGACACCTAGAGCATGTATGTCCATTTAGGCATAGTAGCGATGGACACAATGGGTTAAGGCATGAGATGTAGGATGCTAATCCATTAGCTAAAACCCAAGAATCTGTGTGTTTGGATCAATGATTATAGTAGACACGATGTGAATTGGGCTCATATATATCAATAGACGAAGTGCATGAATGGAAGTTCTTTTCTTACAGAAATAGTAGAACGTTAGGTTCCATTGATTTAGTTTATGTGATTTCTAGTTTTGATTTAGTGATTTGAGATTATGGAGATGGAACCTTAATATTTTCTTCTTGTTGATCTGGATCACATTTAAATCATTGTTAAGCTAAATTAGTAAATCACTTTTTTTTCAGATTTCATTCGACAGGTTAAGTTGTCCAGGTGTTGGTTATCGTAAAAGAGCCAGTATTTGTACGGAGGGATCAGGTAGATCCTTAGTTATGGAATGTTGTGAAAAAATAGATGGTATAAAAAGTTGTCTACCAGGAGAGGCCATGAAGATACTACAGTCATTGGCTTCCTGTTGGGATGATATAGTTGATGTAGATGCCTTACAGGTAATAAGACTCAAGGGTGCTATGACCAATGAAGTCTACCAAATCAAATGGCCAACCAACAGCAACACAGAACGCTCTCGAAAGGTTTTAGTTAGGATATATGGTGAGGGTGTGGATGTGTTTTTTGATCGTGAAATGGAGATCCGAACATTTGAGTTCATGTCCAAGCAAGGCCAAGGACCTCGTCTCCTTGGGAGATTCTCTAATGGTCGAATTGAAGAATTCATTCGTGCACGGGTACGTCTCTTCTCTTCTCTTCTCTTGTCTTCTCTTCCTTTCATTTAGGCCACATATGGTATGTAGGATAGGACAAAACAGAACAGAACAGAACAAAACAGATTATGTGGATTGGACCGAGACTGATGTCAATGGGACAATAATTGCAATTTTTTTTTTGTCTCAAGGTACGACATGGACTCGCTCTTGATTTCTAATCTTTGAAAAAGACGTCTTCATCTTCATCATCGAAAATACCTCTCCAAATCTTGTCCAGTCCATTTCTGTGTAACAAATGCATCCTTAATGTTTCCCTCTTGGTTCTTAAATCTGGAATAATATTTTTCTTGAGTATGATCGAAGCTTTCATTTAGAAAATGTTTTCAACTGCATAATTTGACAGACTCATTGTTTTTGTATCTTGGTGTGTGTTAGTAGGTAGTACAACTATCGTTCGTATTAACTTTGTATTTCCTACTCTTGGCGCATGACCCATTTCTATCTATCTAATCTCTCTCTCTCTCTCTCTCTCTCTTATATATATATATATATATATATATATATATCTGTGTGTGTGTGTGTAGTTTTTAATAGTAGCTAAATGATGCTGTATGGATAAATGATTTATACTTGAAGAAGTGCTCTACGAACAAAGACTTACTTTTTGGACAGAATGAACTGTCTCACTGAGAGTAAATCACCACTTTACCTTTCTGTCTACAAGTGATTAACCTAACTCTAAATAACAGACATGGGCAACAGGTTTGGTTCCATCATTGCCACTAACATCTAATCTTCTTTAGGTTGTACACCACGGATCACAGATCCTTCAGGTCAGGTGTGTATAGTCTTGATGGTATATTTTTTTCTAGTACATATTTGTGCAAAAGTATGAATAACTAGCAGTTGGATCATCTAAAGTGACTCAAATAAGTAGAAGAAAATTCAAAACACATTAAGATACATATAAACTCAGACGATATACATATATCACATCTAAGCATGCAAAAGTATGAATAACAGCACTTGGTTCAGTATAACCTTTTTGCACATCATCATGAAGAAAGTTTGAAAGTGATATTTGATCTATATATATGCTGCCTTGTTCTCTAATGAATGCCAAACTGAGAAGTCTTGATAAGATTAATCACAAAACAGAGAATCTGCTTACCCCAATATCTTTCTTGTAGCACTTGTTTGGTTGTGCACATGGTATAGTAACATTGGTGGTCCCTGTTCCCGCATGCATGCTTGCCCTAGTGGTAACTGGTAAGGAAAGGAGACCTTCCTTTCTCTACCTTTCCCTACGGTGGCATACCCTTTTTAGCCGACGCTAGTGACTTATAGGGCTCAGAAGTTTTTTTTATGAGAGAAATGAAAATCCTAGATATTTGCATACTCTGCTTGTACTATTTTGATGAATCATTGGCATATCGAAATGTAAATCTGGATAGTAATTGAGCTCAGTTGAGATATGATAATTTAATATAAGCCTTTGACATATTTGAAATTTGTATTAAAAACTATATATAGTTGTAGACTAGACATTTTTCGGAAATCTTACAAGCAACCAACGGTGGCAAAACATATTGAGGGGCATAGTTGGTTTGGTGGTGCAGAAACAGAGCAAGGGTAGGTTCGACTTTCGAGTCTCAACAGCCACAGTGGGAATTGTGGATTGGGCTCAGCTCAGGGGTTGGGGTTTCTTGGATAATGACACTTTGCACAATAGAAAGTAATCGGCATGCTACATATCTGTGCTTTTATCTGATGAGTGTTGGTAGTCTGTTATATATGACAGTAAGACACTAAAATAGTTGGTGCCGTATGCTTATCTGAAGTTCTGCATCCTCATTAGTCAATGTCTGTTTATACGATTACTTTAAAAAAAAAAGTTTCAATTTTATGCACATATGATGCCTGAAAGTTAGGCGGTGTTTTTTTGCGACTTAATGGACTTAACGGTGATAAACATAATCCAATAAGCTATATATGAGGGTTTTTTTTTTTTTTAATCAATGCAGAATGAACGACCTAATAGTGACAGTGACAATTAGAGAAAGGAGGCTTTCCCCACTAAAGTCCTACCTTTTTTACACAAATTTCCCCCCATTTAGGGTAATTTTGGTTGTGGAAAATTTTCCAGTTTTCTAGGAAAATTTTCCAAGAAAAACGGAAATTTTGAAAACGCGATTGGTTCGTTCAGTTTTCCAAAATTTTCCAAGAAAATGAAAATTTTCAGTTTTCCAAATTGTATGTAAATTAGAAAAGTGATTTTTACAGTTTTCCAAAGTTTTCCAAATTTCTAAGATGGAAAATAAAAACTCCCCCGGTTTCAACCAAACGCGTTTTCTAAAATTTTCATTGAAAATTGAAATGAAAACTCAATTCTATTTTCTGAAAACATTATTTTAGAAAATGAAAACAATTTTCCACAACCAAACGCACCCTTATCTTTTTGCCTTTCATTTCCCCAAAGTGCAGTAATATTTTTAAAAGAAAATTAAACAATATTTATCCCGTCAGCATTTGATCTACACAGTAATGGGAAAAAAAAGAAACAGGAACTTAGATTGGTAGTCCTTATAACTTTCACATACTGATTATTATTTGTTTTTTTTTTTTTGAAATCAGACACTCTCGGCCTGTGATTTGCGGGATCCTGATATATCTACGCTTATAGCATCTAAGCTAAAGGAGTTCCATGATCTGGATATGCCTGGTCCAAAGACGCCCATGGTCTGGGCTAGATTGCAGTATGCCTCTTTTAAACCTTACACCAGTAGTACATTTCTTCCCTACAAGATTTGTAGGGCTATTTCAATGATCAGATGATGAGGGAGGGCATTCACGTCTTTTGCATAGCTAAGAGATTGTTCCACTTTTTTGGATGGGACAAAAAGTTGCAAATTTTGTCCATTGGCACGGGACACACAAAACACAATACAATCTTATTTGTTCTGTCTTGTCCTGTCCTGCCTAACAAAGTGGGGCCTACAAGTCGAGGCCTTGGTCTGTGATAGGTTGAGGTTGCATGGCTAGTTAATTTATTTTTCATCGGATTAAGCTTGTGGTGTAATTTGTAAATTAATAGTTGTTTTTTTGTTTCTCTCAGTAATTGGCTTAGTGCAGCCAAAAGTATGTGCACTGTAGAGGAAGCACAGGCCCTCCGTTTGGATGCCATGGGAAAAGAGATAGAAACTTTACACAAATGTCTGGCAGCAGATCAACATGTAGCATTTTGCCACAATGATTTACAATATGGGAACATAATGATCGATGAAGATACCAGATCCATAACCATTATCGTAAGAACTTCATCAACAATTTTCATTACCTTCTATTATCTTACTAAGCACACTCTATTTTAGTTTTCCCTTCTAATATCTCTTCAATCATAAGCCATGCATGAAGTGGAGCTACTTGTTTGGTATGATGGAATCGGGAAAGGGAATGGAATTGTTCATTCCATTGAAACGAAAAAACTCTGTGGTAGTGTTTGGTTTGATGGAATCACGGAAGGAATAAAATGGTTCATTCCACTAAAATGGAAGAAACTGTTTGTTTTAACAGAGAGAATGAGGATTGAACCATTTTATTTCATTCAATTTTGGAATGGAATGGAATGAAAAGTGTTTGGTTTGATGGAATCACGGAAGGAATAAAATGGTTCATTCCTTCTGTTTTGTTAATTTTCATTCCTTACTCATTTTTTTATTTCATTCAATTTTGGAATGGAATGAAAAGTGTCAATTCATTTATATATATATGCAATTTTTTTAATAAAACAGTTAGTTTGTTTTAAAATTTTCATTAATCTAATTAAAATTATGATTTATGCTTTAAAGTAGCTAAAATGATATTATATTTATCATATAACCTTTTGGGTTTTAATGAGCTTTAATTATGTTTAGTTTCTGTTTGTGTTAAATAAAATTCGTTAATTATTAATCTAATAAATTTGTTGATTTTCATTCCTTAGCCAGAAGTGTTTTTATTCCATCAATAAATAGAATGAAAAATTACAATACTACCTATTTTTTGTTTATAATATTTCTAATGAAATACGATTCAGTTAAATAACAATTTTCTTTTCTAAAAAAATCAATAGAAAAAAGATATTTTATTATGAACTTATCTGGGTTTTAATGCGCTTTTATTATGTTTAATTTTAAATAATAATCCATAAGTTATAATTATATAATGAATAGAGTAGAGTCCAAACTATACATTGTATTTAGAATAAATTACAAGAGTGGTCTCTGTGGTATTCCAAAAATTGCAGTTGAGTCAATGTTTTGATTTTTTTGAATTTTTTCCCTTAAGTTTGGTTTTTGTTTTCAGGAATGGCCCCCGACATTTTTTTTTTCTTGTTTATATTAATATTTTATTACTAACCCACCCTACCTTACCCCCACATCCCCTCCTTCAGGTCTTCTTCCTAACCACCCACCTGTTGGTTTCCATTGCCTTTGCTGAAAAATAAAATAAAAAAATAACATACTAGACCCTGACAGTTGTCCCCCCTGTGACATTCTCAACTCTTTCCGGAAACATGCCAATAGGACAATGTAAAATATAAAATATTCAATTAGCAATGTAATTCAATAACATTAACCTAAGAAAAGATCACAAAATGAAAATAAGTTCAAATAATAAACTTCATTCTTAAATTATCCGCATATCTCACCTGTATAATAAAAAGTTATGTATAATAAAAAGTTGATTATTTTTGGTATACAACAGGGACCAATCTTGTAATCTGCTCTTGTATTTATGTATAATAAATATTAAACTAAACATGATCATGGAGTCCATTGAATCACTCCATTACCTTGGTCATTCCATCCAACCTTTGAAACAGACCTATACACTAGATATGTGAGTAGAGTTGTCTATTTTCAGATTATGTATTTTAAGTGTTGTCCATGATGTTATTTCCTACTAAAATATGGTTGTACATGTGCAAAATAGTTATTCTTCCTAATCCTGCCTGCGTTAAGTTAATTAAGCACATGGCATTCAGGTTTCAGTGGCTGTCCCTAATAGTAGTTAAGTTTTTTTACAGGACTACGAGTATGCTTGTTACAACCCTTTCATGTTTGATATTGCAAATCATTTTTGCGAGATGGCTGCTGATTATCATACAGAAACTCCCCATGTTTTGGAATATACTAAATACCCTGGTACCTTAACCTTAACCTCAACATCATTACTTGCTTTTCAAATGCTGAATTCACCTCCTTATCAATTTTTGCATATGAAACAGGGCTTGACGAGCGTAGGAGATTTCTTCGTGTATATCTCACTTCTTCTTCTTCTTCTTCAGGTATCAAACAACATCATTCAGCATTAACAGATAGATAGATACTTTATCTATCAAAGATAGATATATATATATTTTTTAAAATAAGCCTACAAATACCAATATTTTAGCATCCTACTTTCATGTCTTCCTATTACGACAGAAAATCTATCCAGTTATAGCAGTGAAAGAAATTTTCATTGCTATAATAATCAGGTCAGGTAGATTTTCAAAGTACGATGTCCTAATAAGAAAAAACAAAAAGGACAATCCTCACCACACATATCCCTTCATTCACTTTGTCATTAATCTCTTTAGTCTTGAATTCTTTGATTATACTATCCAGTGAGGGAACCCCCATCTTCCAGATTTGAATATTTGGATTATTATTTATTAGAGTCACAAAATGTTTCTGCAGAGAGTATATATATATATATATATATATATATATATATATATATATATGTTTTGTTGGTGTATACAAATGAAATGAGTTTTCATCTGAATTTTTTATATTATATGACAACATATGGTTTTGTCAACTCCATTATGTACATTATTTTAGTTATGATTAACAAACTTTTATTTACATAAATAAAATTAAACATAATAAAAGCCTTTAAAATCCCAAATAACTTATAATAATAATAATATTTTTTTCGTTATATAAGAAAATGAAATCGTAATTTTAATTAAGATTGTAAATTTTTTTTTTTCAAAAAGTGTCATATTAAAATTGGATTATATTGCAATTTCTCATCCCGCTCCATGATGTAATGAAAAAACATCCCTCCTCAGACTAAGGAATGTAGTTTAACAAAATCGAAGGAATCACACTCCTTTTGGAATGGTCCAGTTCATTCCATCGAGCAAAGCAAACAGGTTTCTCATTCACAAACCTGTTCTGTCATATTTTTTTTATGGGATTAAGGAGAAAGAAGATTAAGGCCACAAGTTGTTGTTTCTTTTTGACTTAGTGGTTTTAATGGGGGCATAGAATAGAGAAAGTTATGGAAAAGAAATTACAAAAATTTTCTCATTTCATCTTTCTTTTCAGTATGCCATCATTTTCTCAAAAAAGAAACAAGATGTAAGTGTGTACTTGTGCAACCAGGTTCCATGAACCCCTGCCCTGCCTCAATTCCTCCTTGCTAAAAATACTCAAATATCTTTAAACATCTCCAGCTTTTTTAATTTCTATCAATTCCATTTCATTTCCTGACAAAATTCAAATCCTCATTGCCAATTCCTTCCAAAACATCTGGTGAACCAAACGTCCCCTCCCTTAAATCATCAATACTTCAAATCATAATTTTTCTAGGTTTAATGAGACGTCTTTTCACATACAAGAGATTGATAGTGAGTTCCTATCATTTTTTGGGTGGGAGTAAACTCTGGCCCGATTGACATCAGCTCCAATTGCAGTTTAGTATGCACGAAAGTGAAACACAGTACAAATTGTAGTAACTAGCCCAGGCTTCTTAATTCAAAATGAGGGGAACATGTATAACAATATGCATTACATTATCTTTTTAAGCTGTATAGACATAATTTTATTGAATACAACTTTTCAATTTGTGGTCCAGGAAATCAACCCAGCAACTTAGAAGTTGACAAGTTGCTTGAAGAAGTTGAAAAGTATACTCTTGCAAGTCATCTACTTTGGGGCTTATGGGGAGTCATATCGGTATTTTTTCTACCTTATATACAACATACGTTAGTCGGTCAATAGTCAATACACCTGCTTTTTTTTACTTTGTTTCTAAGCATGTTTTGACTGCCCAACACTAATACAAGCAACAACGAAAAAAGTAAAATGCAACGTATTCCATTGATTTGTTTCTTATAGCATCCTGTGCTTTAAAAAATCTACAACACTGCGCTTTCAAAAATCTACAACACTATGCTTAGATAAGTTTATTTTTGTATCTCTTACTTTTTATCAAAGCTTACTTTTTTATAAAATAACATTTTTGTCTATATTTATCAATTTAATTTTGCTTGGATGTCTAATTATGCATGACAAACAACAAGTTTGATTGACTCATTCCATTTCTTCAAGCCAACCAAACATTATAATGGAATTCGATATGACCCATTCTGGAGAGTGTTGCTCATTCCATTTTTTCCTTGGTGATGATATCATTCCATGATACCAAACAAGTGAAATTGTACTATTTATCATGCATCTTCACGTTTCAACTTATATTTTCCTTTTTTTTTTTTAGAATTGTCTTTTGCAAATACGCTTAGATAGAAAAAAAAAAAAAAAAAAAAAAAAAAAAAAAAAAACTGCAAAAAAAAAAAAAAAAAAAAAAAAAACTGCATTAGATTAACCAAGAATCTCATAAAGCTTGCGACTTTGCATGTGGGGCCCCAACATGACAAAACATAATAGGTTTTAGTGTGTTTGGCAATCATTGTATCGTGACTTGTATTGCCAAAGGGATAAATATTCCAATTTTTTTTTCCCATCCAAGAAAGTGATAGCAATTTATGCCTTCTCATGTGCGAGGGTTTATTTAGTAATGGTCGTTTTGTTTATATTAATTCATAGATGTTTCCCTTTCATACTAAATAAATTTATTTATTTTTTTTGAATTTCAGGAACATGTTAATGAAATCGATTTCGACTACATGGAATATGCAAAACAAAGGTTTCAAGAGTACTGGTTACAGAAACCTAAAATATTGGGTTCCTTAGGTTGATTATATTCAAACTTTAATTCTCTTTTAGTAATCTTACTTTGGCAACCAAACGATTGCCCTTACCTACTGGTGTATATGTTGGACACTTGTTTCTTTTTCCATGAATTGTTACTCTTTTTATTTATTTATTTGTTATTATTTTTTTGAATCCCAAGAATCAAAAGATTTAAGCATTTTAACAGAAGAGGGAGGGGAGGGGGTATACAATTTTTTTAGGGTTTTTGTGATAATGAAGATGAGCCAGCAAATTCATCCTTTTCCACATATGACAAGTTGAGAGTGAGTCTGTGTTTCACATTTTAGGTCGGACAAGAAGTACAATGTATCAAACCCATCACACTCTAACGAGTAACGAACGGCTATGTATGTATGTATGTATGTATGCGTGGATGAACCGCTATGTATGTATGTATGTATGTATGTATGTGGTAGGAACTCAATATAAGAATGAATAAATAAATAAATCAATCCTAAAATCGTGTTTATTAAGAAAGTAAAATAGATATACTTTAATGCAATTTGTAATTGAAAATTTTGATTTAGAAAAGGAAATCTATATGTACTTTGTTTATTGCTTGTGTTAAAGTTTTGATTTTTTCAATTCATGTCTCTTTAAATTAAATGATAAAAAGGTTATCAACTTATGTTTAATGATACATTATAGGTGCTTGACGTAATGTCTAAGAGAGTTCATAATTTTTCTAGTTTGTGTTCATATTTTTTTTCAGCTCGATTTTGTGTTTAGTGGGTGTCTTCGGGGTGTTTTATTTCAATGGTGTGCATATTTACAAGCTTTATAGTGTTTGTGATCTTATGAATGTCTTGATGGTTTCAACTTGTTTAAAAGTTTATGTTCCTGTGTTCAAGAAGTTGTGTTTGTGCATATGTTTGTTTGTAGTGGCCTCCTTCAAATGGACTGGTTGGTTATATTGAAACTGCATGTCATAGATTATGATTGAAGGTATATGTTCTCCCTTGAGGCTCGTCTTCTTGGTTTTATAAATCGAGCATTTTACAGTTTATCACATTTTTTAATCACAAATTGTTGGTATCAATTCCATACTTTTACATATTTTATGGTTTATCACATGTTTAAATATTAAAATTATTGGAATTGGAGCATTATAGAGTTTTGGATTATAACAAAGTTTTGGATCATCATATATTTGAATCATAATATTTTTGAATCATATCATTCATTTGTTATACTATTTGTGATTAGATAAAATCATTTATTTGTTTATTATATTATTTGTAGCATTTGGATCATAAAACTATAAGTTGGGTATTAAATTGTTCGAATTGGATTACTATAGAGTTTAGGATCATAACATATATATCTTATAAAATTAAAGCATTGTAGTGTTTTGGACCATAAAATATATGCATCATATAATTTTGGATCACAAAAATCAATTTAACAATTTGGTTTTTGAATCATAACATGTTTTGGATCATAATATTTTTTTTTTATAATAACAACTATTCGTTCATGAATATACTTTATAGTTATTGTGGTCAAAATTCTAATAGCTTTTACGATGAATAGTATGGCATGAAATGTTTATAGCTTTTACGATGCACATTAAGGAAAAATATATTTTATAGTTATTGCGGTCAAAATTCCAATAGCATTCACCGTCCGCTTTTTAAAATCACGGTTATTGTTGTGGCATAGTGGTTCTTTTTTTAAATTATGTATATCATATATTTATATAGAATTTATATATCATAAATTAATGTCATTATTACTATATAAAATTAATATCATAAACAATCATATAAAAACATAACATAAAGCATATGTAATATTCTAATTTCGTAATATGTAAATTAGAAAGTGTCAAAGCGTCAAATATAGTTTAATCGAATTGCATGGGTTTTGATCCTGAGTCAACATCATCCAAGGCATGAAAGGGGAGTGGAAGTGGAACTGTGGAAGTAGATTCTTGTGGAATAGTGGAAGTTGATTGAATTGAGGGATTGAGGGAAGTCTGCACTCAAAATTGTAGACGCATATTTGGCAGTCATAACTTACAAGTCGTGATGTGTAAAAGATAATCTATAAAATAAACTCATTTAAAATACAAATCTAGTTTTGAATTTATAAAACCTAACAAACCAAACTAACTATCAACACCACACCATGCAGTGGCATTGGTGGAGGCACATTGGATCCCGGGGTATCCCGGGATGCCCCTCAAAAACATATTAGTGTAAATATTTTCGAAGATCTTGAAACACGGATTCGTTCTACCCTCTTACCACCTCACTCGATCGAGATCTCGAAAATGGAATGGAGCTCCGGTGGATCCCGAATCATCTTCTGAATCATTCTATCTCCCCGACACTGCGCCTCGTGATTTTCAAAGGGTACGTACTCTGGAATCCCTCAATATTCTTTGGATCTAGCAGTAGCATTTTCTTTTGATTTAGTTTAGTTAATGTAACTCAAATCGGCATCTGTCTATATGTTTAACGCGAATGATTTGTCTATTTTGCTCTGATTTCACTTCAAAAAATCTCAGTCTATAGCATGTAGTTATTGATCTAATTTATCATGTAGTTGCATCGGGGAAAGTCGGGCATGAAGCTGGGGAGAAAGAGACTTTCTCTTTGTATGATTCCGAACTCTAAACTTAATTTTTCTTCTTCTTTATGAACATTGATTCGATATATTGATTTTAGCACAGTCCATTGACGAATCTGTGCGACAACTTGATCATCTCAATTCAGGATTCCGAGGGAAATTAAATATCACATTCATGTTTATAATAAAACTCTGGAATTCATCTCACATTGTGTAGAATCAGGTTAATTTGGTTCTAATCAAGGATCAATTTGATATTGGGCTTAGGTATTCGAACCATGTCTACAATTGAAAAGGGTACTTGGGATGACTTGTCTCCAATTGAAGGAGGTGGACTTATACATATGAAGTTGTAGTTCATTCTTAATGACGAGGAGCGTAATAGGATTCGTTCAATGGTACTCTCTTTATTTTTTTTCACCATTATTTCATTCCATGATGTATATGCTGCAATGAAGAAGAAGCAAGCTGAGATTCTTAATAGCCATATTAGAGTGTTTGGATGAGTTGTTTAAGTTAATCCATTTCAAGTGTTTGGAAGTTATGTTTATCCTGTTACTTGTAGAGAGAAGCTGCAATGAAGAAGAAGCAAGCTGAGATTCTTAATAGCAGGCTAAGAAAAACAGAAAGTGCCAAATCTCTCACATCATTGCTGCAAACACATGAGGTCTCAGGTTTGATCTTGCACTATTTAAAGAAACATTTAGGCCTTGTTTCTTTTTCTTCTTTCTCATTAAATAAAAGATAGAATGAATGAGGACAAATTTATAAAAAAAATCATTAAGTAACAAAGTACAAATCATTGTAATTCGTGAGTGCTGGTTTAGTCAACACAAAGTTTTTATTGACCATCTCATTTCCAGATCTTATTGTATGTTACCCGATTTTTTTTTTCGGGATACCCCTACTTTGACCCTGGCTCCGCCACTGTGCAGTGGATCTGATTAGCAATAGCATATCTTAGGTGAGCAAGCGTGTCGAATAGATGGGGAACAAAAGTGTACCAATATATCAATATCTTCTTATTAATCAATCTTAAAAGAACACAATTAAATGGGAATAACTGTCACAAAAATAAATAGCAAATAAATAAGCATACAATTAATAACAACTAATTTTATCAGTCATAGCTAAGTTGTATAGAAAGCATATTCTAAAGGTAATCATATTTATATTCAATCTATCATAGCTCAATTAATTAATATCCTTTAAATGATATTGTTAAGTTATCCTTCGATTCCTAAATTGATTAGATCGGATTGTCAAGTCACTAATCTTATGATTCTAAGTTTTATACCACCAATGATAGCTCCCCTAGACTCGGTCTATTATGTCGTATTATGAAAGGCTCAATTGGTATGATAAGTATCAGGGTTAGTGGCAACTTCTCGAATTGTTCAAGTTATCGGATCAATCACGGACATTAACTTCATTCTATTAATTTTAACTAAGGGATATAGTCGACCTCTAGTCCTAACGCCTACCTCATTAAAGGAGTTTTGGGCCAATAATATTAATACACATAGATCTTTAATTTAGCAAACCTAATAAATTCAATAACTCTCAATACCAAATATCAATTAATCAAACAAACTACGGTTTCACAGATAACAAATAATCATAAAGGGTTTAATCCCAAATATTGAAAAGAACATATAGAAGATCAAAAACTTGACTAGTTATAGACAGAAAAATAAAGAGACTAATAACCAAATGATTTCTTCTCTTGAACTTCAGATGCATGCTTCTGTATCAGCCATTCGGTTGATACCGTTGGATCTATATGTTCAATAATCCTTTCAGAATGATGTTTTCCAATAACATATGATCATGCATGGTCACACCTTTAGCAATTTGGCACATATTGAATATTTATTATCAATATGATTTATATGTTGGGTTTTATTTAAAACTGTCTTCTCAAAAACGCTAAAAACGGTAATTTGGAGCTTTATAATTAGAACAAACTTAAAACCATTTTAACCCACCAATGATCATTTCGAAGTCATGGAAATATTAAAACAGCCATAGAAGAAAAAGAAACAACAACCTGTGATGACTTTCATTCGTCGCAGGAGATTGGAAGTTAATGAAGATGACAAACAACTCAAAGTAAAGCTTCTCTAGAAGTATCCACCAAGCAAGAGTAAACCATCAAAGATGCTAGTCTTCACTTGTATATAATTTGTTCTTAAGCCTTAAAAGTTTATACCAAATAAACCTTAAAAGGAAGCAACCTGATCACCTAGACCATGCACCAAATTTCAAGACCAATAGAGGGGAGGGAGAGCACTTTGCTCTCGGCAATTAGAGAGAAAAAAGGAAGAGAAGATGTAACAACCCGATATTCCAAGTCAATGTAATGACCTAAAAGTCAAGTATTGTAACCTATTTTGAGATAATAAAAACAACGTCAAAAATGAAATGTTCACAAACCTCAATTGGTGTATATAAAGTGATAGATATCGTATCAAGGTTTTCAAAAATGTAAAGAACACTAAAATCCGAGTTATAACGAAGAAGTTATGACCAATCTAAGAATCTGCAACAAATCCGGT